GGGGGGCAGCGGGAGGATCAGGAGCAGTGGGGAGTTGGGGGGCCCCTCTCACCCCCGGCTCTCTCTGCAGAAGGCCGACCTGGCCGTAGCCGCCTTCACCATCACGGCGGAGCGGGAGAAAGTGATCGACTTCTCCAAACCCTTCATGACGCTGGGGATCAGCATCCTCTACCGGGTGCACATGGTACGGGCGTCCGGGGGGATCTGGGGGGGTCTGGGGGTCCGGGGGGGTATGGGGGGTCTGGGGGGACCCGGAGGCCACGGGGGGAGTCCGGGGGGCTGGGGGGCTTCAGACCAAGGGGGACACTCAGATGGGGGGGCGCTCCCAGAGGGAGGGGGGTCTGGGGGGGTTCAGTCCCAGGGGGACGCTCAGCCCCCCCGTCTCCCCCTCTCTAGGGCCGCAAGCCCGGCTACTTCTCCTTCCTGGACCCCTTCTCGCCGGCCGTCTGGCTCTTCATGCTCCTGGCCTACCTGGCCGTCAGCTGCGTCCTCTTCCTGGCTGCCCGGTAACGGGACAAGTGGGGGGCTGGGCTCCGGGGGGCTGGGGCAGGACAGTGGGGGGCTAGGTGGGGGTGGGGGGATGTAGGGGGGCGAGCAGGGACATGGGGGGCAGGGACGGGGGGACAACGATGGGGAGGACGGGATGGGGACAGGAATGTGGGGGCCGGCAAGGACATGGGGCACAGGGACGGGGGGGATGGGGCGGTGGGGACGGGGGATGGGGATGTGGGGGACAGCGATGGGGGAATGGGGTGGGGGCAGCGGGGATGGGGAACAGGGGGGGCCAGCAGGGAGGTGGGGATGTGGGGAACAGGGATGGGGGCGGCGGGGATGGGGGGAGGGGTACGTGGGGAACAGGGATGCGGGGGGCAGGAGGGATGGGGGTGTGACAATGCGGTTCTGGCGGAACCCAACTGAGAGGGCCAACTCAGGACAAATTGCTCAAACAGGGCAGTTACAGCCCAAGGCTGGGGTTTTTCCGCCTCTAAGGCACCAAACCAGCCAGACTAAGAGGACTTCGGTCTCACCCCACTGGCTAACCGCAAGTCTCACAAGCAATCTCCTTAGACACTCCAGTTTCCCAGTATCACCACCAGTGCCACTCGTTATGGGGACAAATGGTCATGAAAACCAATACCCCAGTAAAAGAAAAAGGTTCTCCTGATCCCAAAGGACCAAGCCCCAGACCCAGGTCAATATACAAATCAGATCTTACCCACAAATCACGCTGTTGCCAATCCTTTAGAATCTAAAATCTAAAGGTTTATTCATAAAAGGAAAAAGATAGAGATGAGAGCTAGAATTGGTTACATGGAATCAATGACATCCAGAAATGCCCAAGTTCTTGGTTCAGGCTTGTAGCAGCGATAGAATAAACTGCAGGTTCAAATCAAGTCTCTGGAGTACATCCCCCGCTGGGATGGGTCCTTCAGTCCTCTGTTCAAAGCTTCAGTTTGTAGCAAAGTCCCTCCAGGGGTCAGAAGCAGGATTGAAGACAAGATGGAGATGAGGCATCAGCCTTTTATAGTCTTTTCCAGGTGTAAGAACACCTCTTTGTTCTTACTGTGGAAAATTACAGCAAAATGGAGTCTGGAGTCACATGGGCCAGTCCCTGCATACTTTGCTGAGTCTCAAGGCATATTTGCCTTTTCTCAATGGGTCAGTTGTAGCTGATGGTCCTTAATGGGCCATCAAGCAGGCTAGGCAGAGCTAACACCAACTTGTCTGGGATGTCACCCAGAAGCATAGCATAAGTTTGAAATACAGACAGTATAGAGCCAATATTCCTAACTTCAACTACAAAATTGATACACACATATATACAGCATAATTATAACCAGTAAACCATAACCTTGTCTTAGACACCCCATTTGACCCCCTTTACACAAGATCTGGGTGCCACTACAGGACCTTGGTTGCACCAATGATCTATATGGTCCCAGATTATATCAATAACGTCACAGGGGGGACGGGGATATGGCGGCAGGGACGGGGGAGGGGTACGTGGGGAACAGGGATGCGGGG